ACGGATCGTGATGAATGTTGTATTACGTCGAGAATTCGAAATCGTTGAATCTTTCATCCCCGTCGGTGATATATTTCTCGCTGTACGAGAGTAATAATTTAGTTTTTGCGAAACGTTGATTTCTGTTTGATATCGCGGGTCTTATTTTTTTTTTAGTCCACGAGGTTTCTTTGGCAGTGTGGGCGACTACTGCTCGATCGACCAAGCGGTTCTCGATAACGTACGCGATCGACGGTGTTGCAATTTGTTCGCGGCGGTTTGCGCGAACCGGCGTGCCGGAAAATGCTGGTTCCGCTCGAACGCGTGCAACGTACGACGCCCGGCCTCGTTACTTTTCAGGGAGGACAAGTTGAATGGCAGAGTTAATTGTACGATCATTACAGGCGACTCTCGATTTACGAATGTTCGATTCGCCGAACGTTTCAACGAACTTTAAAGCCCGTTAAATATTTCTTCGACTCATCGATCGATGAGTCGGTGAAACACTTCAGCGAAGAAAATAAATCTCGACCTTAATTCCCTGACAAGAAAGTCGAACCATCAAAGAATGTTAAAATATTACTGGTGATCAGAAAATTAATTGTTAACGTGTACGTTACTGGTAAAAGTGAAAGGTGAACGTATACATTTGTTGAGAAAGTTTGTAATTTCACGTTTTCGGTTCATATTTAGCAGTGAAAGTTTAAACATGTATAATCAGCTCGAATAATTTACGTGCAGTAATGGTCAGCTTCTGCCTGATTAATAGAGCATTGAATATATTATGGTAAATGTATCAAAGAATTATTAACTAAAAATTGAATAGCTCATCGATTTCCAGTCGATTAAGTCTTTATGATTAAAGTGATCGAAGAATTGGTTTGTCTCGTTGATCACCTTTCCCTTTGTGACTCGATAAACGTTACAAATATACCTGAAAGATAAAATGAATTTCGAAGGGAAAATGTTTTAATGCATGCGCATACAGAAAACGCAAATTATAAATTGAAATTTGAGTGTCTTTTTTTTATAAATTCGGTGGTTTCCTACCGCCACGCTTATGATAATGTTAAATCACCCGCGTGGAAATGCAAATGTTTAACGAAGTACTTTATATTTTATGTGACAAATACGCTTCATGCATGGAAAATTCCTTTACGAGATTGCAATTTACACGCCCATCGAGTCTCGTCCGTATAAAAGTTATCGGGAGTCGAATCGTAGTATTATTAAATATTCATGCGTCTCTTCAATATGGAAAAAAAGAGGTTGACTCTCGAAACATTCGTTCAGATTTTTCCAGTTCGATTTTACATCATTGCGTTCAAAAAACAAAGAAAAAAAGGAAACGCCGTGGAAATCCATACGTCCCGTTAGACTGTTTTGATTTTTCCGTGGGAAGCGCTTTCCATACGTTAAATTCGAATCAATTGCACAGTTATTTTAGTTTCCGTGTAGCAATTCGTGCAAACAAAATTGAACGTCGTCCTCGTGCGCTCGTATATATCTCCGCGGTTGTCTTTTTTTAAACTACTAAAACAAAGAAAAAACCTTCGACAGACGTCCAATCGATTTTCGAACATTTTTAATATTTCTCTCTATTATATCTAGCGGGTGTATATTTTTCTTGCGCGTTTTAAAACTTGCCACTTTTCTCGGGCGCGGAAACTTTCCGTTTTCAAAGTTCGAAAGCCTTAAAGCATCCGTTTGGATACTGCAGGCATTTCGAATATTACTTTTCTTCATAGATCGCGAAGAATTCCTCGAAAGTTGTGTAACACTCAATTTTAACAATTTTCATGTCTGTACAAAGATTTTTTTACTCAAACCTTTATCTATATATTTACACTCATGAAGGATTGAACTTAACTTTTGTGGAATCAATCGAAAAAATTTTAATGGGGGATTCTAGAGGCCAGAATAAGACGAAAATCAAGAATACCAATTTGTTGACGGAGGCTCCGTTAAAAAGTTATTAACAATTAAATTCAGAAATTTCAAATCGTGCTGGAAAAATTATTTTCGGTTGCGGGAGTCACTTACAATCATTTTTGGTGAATACACATACCTTCGTAATCCTATCCATTTTCGAGAAAAAAATTCGAGAAGGTGTGAAATTTTTCGACGGAAAAAAAAAATTTCAAATCGTTCTGGAAAAATTATTTTCAGTTGCAGCGGTCAATTGCAATCATTTTTTGTCATTACACGTACCTTCGAAATTCTACGCACTGTCAAGAAAAAAATTCCTTACCGAAATTCTAATGTCTGACCATACCGTTGATATGTTTCCCTGAAATTTCATGCGAAAGTTTAAAACATCATAACTTCTGAACGGATTGGAAGATTTTAAAGTTTCAAAATGCAAATAACGCGTATTTTAGTGAAGAATATGTAGAAATTCTAAGAATATTGAAAAAGTTGTTCCTTAACCACGTATAATGAAAAAACCCCCATAAAAGTGGTCCAATATTCAAACGATCATAACTCCTACAATAGTGAATATATTTCAATGAAATTTTGAAGGAAAGTAGAGTTCATGGGTACCTATAAAAAAGTATTAAACATTTATTAAAAATGAAAATCGAATTTTTAAGGAAAATCGACAGGGGGTAGGTGCCTAAATTCGTCGAAAAAACAATTCCAGATCGTTCCAAAAAAATTATTTTTAGTTCCGGGGGTCGATTACAATCATTTTTGGCCAATAGACGGAAAAAATTCGTATAGATTTGAAATTTTTCGACAAAATTAAAAAATTACAAATCGTTTTGGAAAAATTATTTTCAGTTACAGGGGTCAATTACAATTATTTTTGGTGAATAGACATACCCCCGAAATCCTACGCAGTTCCGAGAAAAAAATTCGTGTAGGTGGACAAATTTTATTAGTCATTTTTAACAGTAATTTTGTTAATAACTTTTTAAAGAAGCCTCCAACAACAAATTGGTATTCTTAATTTTCGTCTTCTTTTGGCCTCTAAAATCACCCATTAAAATATTTCCCAGGTGTGGCCAAACACCCTGTGTAAGGGTGGTTTTTTCTCCGATACGAAATCCTGTTTCTCCAGTGCGTGCGTACGTAATCTGAAAACTCATGCAGAGAAGTTGCCAGTCGCCCGTACGAAATAACAGTTTATTAATTGTCGCAATCTGTTAGCAGCTGGAATTGGTTACAAAGTCGAGGCGGTGGGCGCGGGGCGGCAACGGAAGCACAAAGAAAAACGGAACGCGGTCCCCGTTGAAGGGGCAAAAACAATGAGCAATCGGCCGTCCGGGGGTTATATTCCGCCTCCCCGTACTGTTTTTCAGTGCATTTCTATTTATCGGTGTCCCGGGACACGACAGCGTAAGAGGGATGGAAAAAAGCAAGTAGCAGAGTGTCGTGAAGGACCGAGACCGGGGTTGAACGGGAGGGGGTTGGGGGGCTGAGGGCGAAAAAAACGTAATACCACCGGTCGGAATGTTAGACGGAAAGCGGATCGGGTGAAAACCGTACGACAAAGGATCGCGGATAGAGAAAATCGTTTGAAGTGCAATTCGAATCGGCGTTTGGCGCACGGGAACTCGACGCGCCACGCACTCTGTCAACTTGCGCCAACCATGACTGAAATAAGCCTCGAAGCTTATGCGAGCACACCGACTTTGTCCAATTACTACCACGCGAGACGTTCTTGTTCAAACTAATAAAGAATTTAACCTTCCGGTGGAGTCAAAAATCGTTGATAGCTGGGAAGGAGATCCAGACAATTTCGATGGTAGAGTTCGAGATCATAAGAGATAACAAGAGGGTTGACGTGTATAGAACTTCGTTATCCGTGGGATTAGAGAAAAATTTATTTATGTGTTCTGGTCAGCTTTGAAGAATTTTGATATCCTCTCGAGTGAGAAGTTTCGTTTGTTCGAGAGAAAGATTCGCGAAAGTTCAACGCGAGGAATAGCGTTTTTCTAGACGACTCAGCGGTGGCGAGCACGCCTGGGGGGAGGATGGAAATACCGTAAACTAAATAGGTTCGTTTGTCATCGAATGTCACAGGCGCGTTCGCGCATTTCCCTCCGCTTTCGCGTAGAACGGCGATCGTGTTGGATCGGCAAAGAATTTAATCCGATACGAGGCGCCCCGGAAACTATGCCCGCGCGGCTTTCATTCAAGTTGTGAATTCAGGTGTTAACGACTGAATTGGTAATTGGATGTTAATGGGGCGTTAACGCTCTTTATAACGCGATTCGAAGGAAAGCCTTTGCGATGCATATTAGTGCGCCGTTCAAAGCGTCGTTTCCTCTGCCTTTGAAAACACTGCAATAGAAACTTAACGGGAATAAATATAAAGCAATTGTTAATGTTCGACGCCCCTACGGAATTAATCGATCGATCGTCAAACGTTCTCTGAAATAATTAGAATTACTCCCTGCTTAAAAGAAATATTTACAGTCCTCGTTTGCAATATTTTTAACTGTCTTTTTCAGTGAAATGCATGAATATATAGTGACATAAGTAGAACACTAGCCATCCATCCCGAACAAGTGAAACTTATCCGCGATTTCTCGAACAAGTAGAACACATACAAGCTATGGTCAGACAAGTGAAATATTTCAATTCTTGCCTCGATATATACATGAGATACGTCAATAGTCAGATAATTATATTAAATACAATAAATCAGACAATGTTAGAATTTTTACAATCTATGTTATTTATTTATCACTACTACATCGTGTTACTGTTTGATTGGAAACTGTTAGATCTTGAGAACGTTTTGGTATATATAATAATCTTCCAATCTCGCGAATCAACGTTTGGCCGAAGAAACGTGTGTGTGCCTTGCCTTCGGCTGTTGTTCGAACCAACAAAATTCTATTAAAATCGCATTAGCTATGCTCGTCGAAATAGTCCGGGCAGGATATTTTTCTTTTCTTGCCGGAGTTTCTTTATGAAATACGTGCACCGCGTGTACAATGTCCTAATGGCGTGTCTTGCGCAAGGCTCCTTAAAGCCTGTTTTCTAACCGTTTTCGTGTCTCGTTTCAGGTCAAGTGGATCTTTGGACACAAACGACGAAAGGCTGCGCCTGCAGTTTTAATTCGTCCAGCAACGAGTGCGCGTGCTGCGTCCCGTCCGGAGGATGCAGTTGCGGCGCTGCATCGCCGGACAGATGCGCCCAGTGCGGCCTGGAGGAACACTGCGCCAACAGTATGCACCATTGGTCTTCTTTTTAAAATCCTAATGTCGAATTGATCTCAAATACACCTTCAAATCCTGATTTAAACCCTTCACCAATGTGTTCCACTTTTCAACAGAAAAACAGTATTCACTTGCAAGAGCTAACAGAATTAAAAAAACATGACGTATTAAAATTAATTCAATTTATTTTCCATTATCGGAGTTACAAATATTCGTGTCATTTGTTTCAGAAGTCAAATGTAATTTAACTTGTAGAAGGGATGCTCTCGTTTCTCTCTTTTCAATGGAAAATTACACGACATATTAAACTGCAAAATTGTTGTTCTAATTAATGCATTTATCAGAAAAATTTCACTTTCATACGTCGACGAACATCCGAAAATTTGTGTTGGTATATGTATTTCGCTAATAAGGATTTATTCGAGTATACCTCTGAATGAGAATTATTACATTTTGCATCGTATAAGTTATTATCATTTTTTTTATCATTTTAATCGTCAGGAAAATGCTCGCGATGTTCAAAAAGCAGAGAAATAATGGCCTCTTAATTTTTGCGGTGATGGATACGAAATATAACATTTATTTTCATTCCGACTTTCTATTCCAGGCATTTTAGAGAAAAATGATTTTAATTAAAACGAATCGCTGCAAAAAGAAACGTGGAAATCGTATGGCGTGCGACGAAGTTTTACGGGAATATTAAATTACAATGGAACGTAATTAAATTTAATTAAACTATACATATCGAGTTGTGTTTCTGAATTCATACTGTAATGTTCTATTTCGCGAAGAGGCCATTACTGCATTCCTTGGAAATGTCAAGCTTGTCTGGAATAATGTAGGACGTCGCGAGGTAATGCAAATTCCATAAGGGTTACCCTTGACACAGAATCGTAAGATAATAACCGTTGTGTATGTCACACTACTAATTAGTGAATTCTTAACCTTACTAAATTTACTCTGTGCACTTCCTCTTGTATGCTTTCGGTCCGCGTACTGAGAATGTACCCTCTCTAAAAATTGAATTCTTCTTCTCGATGCGGATGTTGACCCGGCGAAAAGCCAATCAAAGCACAACGCTTCTTTCCGCGAACAAACGTGGAGGATTTAGGAGTCCAGTTTCTCCTAGCAAGGGATTTCCCTATTTAAAACTAAAACTTCCAATTAGTCCCTTTAATATTAGACTCGTCAGCAATCTAATTAGCAGTTGGAGCACCACTTCCGTTTCCCTGCGATGCATGCTCGCCTGGTCAATCGCTTAATTCGAGTATTTACTTCCACCCTACGCGGAACGTAATTACGTCACGTCGAAAAGGCAACCGCTATCCCTTTGAATCCAAATCGGCGTTAGAAACAAGGTTAGCGCGATTAAGCCACTCCTGCTATCTCTCTCTCTCTCTCTCTCTGTCTTCCACGTTCTACCGTTTCTCATTTCGAGCCGTACACCGTCTCGCGAACAAGTAGAAATTAAAGCTTCTTTGGATTACGGAGAAAGTTCTCGAAAGCAAGTGGTCACGTCGCATAGAAACGGACCTGGGAAAAGGGATTGCGAGGGTGTCGAAGAGAAAAAAAGAGATCCTTTTATATGGTCGGTCAGTCTGTAAAAAGGGTTTGTAGGATCTGTAAAAAGGTGTAAAAAGAGTGTGGCGGTTGGGTGACATAAAAACAGTGGAAATGGTACACATAAACAGGTGCTCTGCGTAATCATGTTCCCGAGTCACTGTTTCATTCTACGAGTCAAGTTAGGCTATTCGCTTGACCTACATAGGGATAGGTAGTATAGTAACACGTGTCAAATAAATTGGTTTCATTGTTTTCATGCCCCTTTCCATTTCAATAACTGATTACGTAAAGGTTCTTTTTGTTCCACGTCCATTTACCTTTTTCCCCGTTAAATCCATTCGACATTTTTGCCCCCATCCTTCCCATCGATCAAACCTTTCTTATGCGAGTGGATAAAAACACGTCAACCAACTTAATTATGGTCGGAGCCATAATGGCGGATTAACCTCACTTTCTCCACCAGCGATGGATCAATTTCTTAACTGATCAACAAAATGTCGAGAACTTTCGTTAATGAATGGGGGAAAAAGACTCGTCGGACCGTGCAAAGTTTTGATACGAGATAAAAAAAAATGTTTTCATCGATGTCAAATTCAATCTCGTACCTTGGGATTACGTAATATTTATCGACCACGGTTTTGACGGGTTTCGAGGCTGTCAAATGCCTTCGACAAGCTTTATTAAAGCGTTTTATCCAGCGTACATTTACGTAGGAACGTTGATTGAGGAATTATCCTACTCTAGAACACTCCAGCTTATTACAATATCGTTCGTTTCGAGCGATAATTAATCGTTCTCGTTTAATTTTTATTTTTATAAAACATTCTGATAACGATTGGCCGTTTAAACCAAAGACACCCTGTATATTGGACTGACTCGGATGGTTGCGTGTCGCGACTGTTCGTCGCCCGGAATGGAAAGACGAAGGACTGACTTGTCTCGACGACGGGACGGTGTAAGCAAGAAAAATCGTTATAAGGGACGCAGCACCTTTCTTCCGCGGCAGTTTTGCGCTCCCACGTGACCCAGATTCCAATCGAGAAACATATCGAGGAAAACTTTAATTCCTCGAATAAACGCCTTTCATGTTGAAACTGGGCTCTAATCGCTCATTAAACACTAAATAGCCTCCAATTACAAGATTTCTCAAGACTTTTAGAAGCTCTTCCCCGGGTATTTAACGATCCGCGTGTCATTATTTAATGTCAAAAACATTCTTTCAATCTTTTCCTTCCGACTGTCAAAGTTTGCAACTTTTATATTAATTGTCTCTGTGGGAAATAGATATATTTCTCGTCGGATCGATGCACGATCGACATTTTCAATCTGGCCCCTTTTCGGGCTCTATGTATACAGCGCATGCGCGAGCGCGAGAGTGGGACCGCGGCCATATTGCCTCGTAACTCGTCACGTGGTATCGCATTGCTGTTATGGCCGCCGTGGTGCGCATGTCGTTCCGTTTCGCTGCGAAACAATGTTCAATTATTAGTGATTAACTAAAGTTTAACATCTTCCTGTAGTTCTAATTCAGATTTAACATCGTCTGAACGTAAATTCTGTGAGTCTCTGTGTTTCTAATGTTAGAATCGTTTCGTAATAATTGTGTGAACATGTCCCGGAACAATTGGCTTCAGCTATTGGAATGGTAAGTTTTTATAAAGCTAGTAGCTTTGTTTTTTGAGAAAAGAATTCCCTTCGAATTCTGAAGTCGGTTACAAACGGTTGTTTGCCAAGTCCAAGTAATTACAGAAATATTCGTGTCCGACGTACCTCTTACCAAAGAATCAACTTCCGAAAGCAATTCTAACTATTTTACAAGCGCGTACTGTGTGTATTTAATTAAGAGTAGCTCAGCGTGAAGAACGATAGGCGAGTGCAACAGGTGTGTTTGAGGAGAGGTTTTTTTTTTTTAAGCGAGGGAAGAAAGTGTCGCCCATATAGCTGCGAGCGTTTATAGGTTATGTTTATTGTTCCTATATCCCGATTCGGTACAACAAATCGTACACGGTGCTACGAAGTCAATTAGAATTTCGTTCTCGTGAAATAACACAGGATTCTGTGGCCATATCGCGTTTCAAATTCTTCTGATGTTTCCATTGAAAATTTATGAATTCCCTGTTACACGTTTCAATTATTTCTACTCGTGGAACACACTGGTGAAGCTTGTATAGAAATATCCGGTACATCCTGTGTACAATCTTAGAGTGGATAATCGAAGTAGCACTGCAAACAGTGTATCACTGCCAGCTGTGCAATCGGTTCGATCGACTACGAACGAAGAGTACTGCGCGATTCTTAATCTCCGAGACAACGAGGTTAACGGATTTCCACCGAACCTAGAAAAACGATACAGGCGTTCCAGGTGCACGGTAGACTCACTGCCTCTATTTTCTTCGTTTCAGTGTGCAATATAACGCTGGACAGCAAGCAGTTGTTCAGCAAATCGGATCGTGGCTTCGGGCAAATAAAGTCGCCGTCTCTCGAAGGGCCCTCGAGGTGTACGTACAGATTCGTCCCGGACACTGGCCAACGAGTCGAGCTACAAATCTATCGACTGATCTCGATCGGACGACATAACGGCACAGCGTAAGTAAAATCTTTGTTTCACCCAACTATAGTCGACCACTGCTCGCGTCCTTCAACGAAACATCTCTCGACCAGAATAGGGCACTTCTCTCAAAAACGTCGAAACTGTATTCTTCTTCCTGTTAAACGAAAACAATTGAATTTGTTATTTGTTGAAAGTATATTTAAAATTTATAAAATAGGTATTCTCAAAGTATTAATTTTCGACTAGAGCAACTTTTTTTTCACGCGATATTTTGTATCGAGTTTCGAGAATAGGGCACTTATTTCAGAAACGTCGAAACTGTGCTCTATTTTTCTTTCTGTTAAACGAAAACAAGTGATTTGTAATTTGTTGAAAGTATATTTAAAATTGATAAAATAGGTATTCTCAAACTATTAATTTTCGACTAGAGCAACTTTTTTTTCGTGCAATATTTCGTGTCGAGTTTCGAGTTGGACGATACCGAAATGGCGGTAGAATCAGTTTCGACGTGTTTCGATTAATTGGCCCAGAAATTTGAGGCGCGTATAATCGCGCGAAGCAACGCGACGATACTGTTTGTCCGTTAATTGTGTAATTGTGTCGTTAATGTCAAACCGTAGCGAGCGCGAAACGATGTTCGTGCGCCGTTGGAAAAGATTCGCATTGATCGGCGCCGTTCGTTATTAATCAAACGAGCTTTTAATCGGCCCGGACAAACGCGTCGGTCACTTGCATTTTGTTTCATACACTTAATTGAATTAATCTTCTGTACACAAACGCGCGCGCGCCAAAATGCGTTTCGTCGATATGGAAATTGTTATTACAATAAATCCTGCGGGGCGTTTTTCATGCCGCGCAACAATCAATTCCTCTCTGCACGCGGCGCTTGATGCGAAAGTCATAATTTTTTAAATAAAGAAAAACACACAGGAAACGCTCCGTTACGCTTGAACTTCATTATGCAGAGTGTGTTGTGATTCTTCTTGCAAAGCGAACTATTTCGTTAAAATTTAATACATAAGCCAGATATATTAAAAAATGTCTTTTTTCAAAACGGTAACTCTTCGTGCAATTTACAAAATATTCAGAGTAAATGTACTAGGTGCAGGCAGGATAGAAAATGTATTGCAGGAGCTATCGTTCAAGTTGGAGCGCAGATAATGGCTCTTGGTTCGTGCCCCCGCGGTTTTCACACTCGAAGGAGAAATTGAAGGGCGGCTTATATCAGGCCGATATGATTGGAGATCGCTTGTGTCGATGGCCGTTTCAATTTGTCATACTGCCGCTCTTACGTGGGCTACCACCACCGTCGCACTTAAGTCCCTCTCGACGTGTGTAGACACCGCGCGCGGGAGGGGTCGGGACAGAGAACGTTGGAACGGTCTGGAGAGAAAAATTACTGTTTCTGGAGGCGTCTGCCCGCCCCTCGCGCGCTTCCCTTGCTCGGGATAGCGAACGAACTTCGTGGCGAGTACGAAAGGCCTTCGACAAGCCCTGGAAAAGTTCCTTACAATTTTTCGACAAGACCCACACACCCTCGAAGCTTTTCTTCCCGCGGAGTCTAAGTAGAGCTTACAACGCGAATGCACGGTGCGTCTTCGATGCACTTACCGGAGTAGTTTCCGTCCATCACCATCGACGGGTCCTGCATAACAATGCTGCTCGAAATTTATTTGCCCTTTTCGATTAGCTTTTCGTCGGAAATTAAATGCGCGTTCGAATCGTCTATGTTACTCTCAAGAACCGAAAAATACTACGTGGAGTTATTTTCTACGATAAACTATATTTGTCTAGTCCGATGAGACACCGATACAGCGTTAAAAGACATCGCGAGAAGGGATATACCCTGTCGAGGCAATAATAAGCATATTTACGAGCTTACTGTAATAATTTCGGATAAACTCGGTAAGCCGCCGGAACGGAATACGCATTATGGCTTTTCGATACATTCTTTCGGACCCGTAGATAACTTAAATTCGACGCTCACCGTCGTAACGCCTCGATTTATCGCGCTAAACAGAATAGCGGATGCGCCATTCTGTTTCGATGGAGTTTATTGCAATAAATTTTCAAATTCGTGCACCCTGCTCGTGTTCAGCGTGTTATTTATCCGTCGAAGGTAAGAAAGAGCGTCCCAAGAGAGTCTTCTACTTTAGAACCCCGGAAAAAGGGTGTTTTGCGATCTCCTTGAGCATAATTTTACTGATACGACTTTACGAATTTCAGTCCACCGTAGACAAGTATTGATTGATTTGATTTGTTATTTGGCCAACTGCCAGAAACAAAGTGAGGGTACAATCTACTTGGACCCCACCCACTCGTACTATCTCTTTTACTTATTCTCTCGCTCGTCCCTTTTCTTTTCTTTTCCTTTCTCATTGTTTCATTAGTTCTCTGATCCATTCAACCGTTTCTTTGCCTCTTTTCTCATTTATCAGATCCTCTACCCTCCGTTTCCTTCTCTCTACGCTCGCTGCATCACAACACTACCACACGTAACAGTGTCTCTTCCGTTTGGTCACACGCTCTACACCTATTTCTTCTTTCCTTTCCAACCAGTATCGATCTATGTTTCGCTAGTCTAACTTTCCATAAACTCTCGGTCCACTTTATTAATCTTGTCTTCTCCATTCATCCATTTCTTCAACAGTGTGTTTTTCTCTGATTTAACTATTTTATTGAATTTAATCGAACTTTAACATTTTCCACATTTTATGGATCACCAATATTGGTTTTGCAAGAATCGTTGCGACTTCAAGCTGTGTTTCGTAAATTTTCAACATTTATTTCTTTATTTAGTGTAGTAGCTTGTTCGAGGCTACGCGGCGGTGGCAAAGAAGCGCGTTAAATATTTTGTGGTGCCTCGACGAGGCGCTCCATAACAATTTTGCGCAAGGCAAAACGCTAAGCAGGAGCGGGAAAGTAATCCCGTTGAATATTTCGTACGAAGCTTCATGCTACGCGCTATGAAATATTCGTCGCCGAGACGCTCGTTGACAATTTCGCCTAGATACAAAGTTCTACCGAAAAATGGAAAGAAAAATAGTTTGCCAACAATCTCATTGTCCTACGTGGCCGCTGGCAATTTTTCTCAAATAAAACATCGTTCAGAAAATTACGTATAGACAAAATGTTCTACAATATATTAATTTAAAGTCAATATGACATTTTTTGCATTACGATATCTACAAAGTAAATTCTTCGAGTGACGCTACACAGTCAGTCCTGAAACTAGAACCTTAGAAACTGAGTACTTAAATAATACCATCTGTACGAGGCAGACATCTCGAGTAGTATAGAATGTAATATATAACAGTACAAAAATCTCAAGTATCGTCAAAATATCAATTTATTGTCTGGAAATTTTAGAAAATCGTAATTTTTTATCGAGTAAGTCGATCCAGCGTCGATTGTCTATATAAATTAATTTCTAACGCGTGAAAATTTCCGGAAAAAGTAAATAATTACAATTGTTATTTTTTAATCGGTTGTGAAGTCTCGAGGCATGTTCGAGCGAAGTTCCTTTCTAGTTGAAACTACAAACATTTAGCATTCCCTAGCTCGTTCATTACGTTCATCCTTCTTTCGCGCTCGGCACTTTATTTTTCAAAGTTGAACGATTTATCACCGGGTGTCCTCCTCTAACTGAAAGCACGGCGAACGGACTTGTGAAAAAATAGAAAAGCTCACTCGAAGTTCGCCCGTTAACGAGAACGGGGCCCAGGCGGACGTTCGGAGGGCTTCGAGCGAGAAATATCGTTACACTCGCCCGGTGCACGGTTGCAACCGTTCGCCTTTTACCTGCTCCTTGAATGTTACCCGTTTCAGAAAACTACGGACGCCTCCGGGAAAAATTGCGAAACCCGCATCTTTGCGCGGCGCAACGTTTCTCACCGCGATAACGCGTCGCGGCAGTAAAACGTTAACGCTCTGTTGACTCTATCGGGGGCCGTATGTTCCGAAATTTACGATAACGCCACGGTGATGACAGGCGCCGTTTACTAGTTAGACGCTTCATTTTTCGAACGTTCTAAAACGGTGGAACAACCGACGCGTAGCATCGAAGATACGACGCGCGATACGGTTTTACAGCGCTTCTTAAAGTTTAGTGCTTCCCCGAGTAAAACTGAAAATAATAGCCATTAAATGGACACCTGTATACACGCGGATGAGTACACTCCATTTTTTCTACTGTAATCAACTAACTTTCGCAAAGGAATCGTATGTGTATTCTCTTTCGAACTCATTTTACGGGATGTCTGACCATACGTGTGTTTGTTCCACTTAGTTTACGATAGAAACGTTTTATGGAGTATACATCATCTTACGAGACTTATTTTCAATTTAAAAGGCTCGAAGAGTCGTCGTACATGTGTATAAAGTACATTTAATCTTTTCTCGGTGAAACGTCTGACTATGCGTACATCTGTTCCACTTACTTTTTAAAAAAAATCCCTATTTTAGAATTCTAAAAGTTTTCTACGGTAGATGCGTGTTTCTTCTTCAATAAATACGTCTACGAAAGTCTTATAAATTTATTTCAGTAGTCTGATCAGGCGTACACCTGTTCTACTTGCTCAATACTTTGAGTATACAAGCATTGTCTGAAAAGAGGTTCAAGAATTGTACACACGATGTAACCAAATATTTACAATTGTAGACGTCTGACCACACGTACACCTGTTCCACTTAATACTTAAAAAATCCCATATTTTTAAATTCTAAAAATTTTCTCTAGTAGATACGTGAATATTTGCTAAAATTAATCGTTCTCTCTTCATGAAATACCAAAGCTAAGCTGCGTGTTCGTTCAAACAGACCCGTAAATTTCTCACGGTGACGCGTCTGATCAGACGCACACCTATTCTACTTGCTCAACGCTTCGAGTGCACGAGCATTGTCTAAAAAGTGGTTCTGTTTGCAGAAGCAACAACTGTGCAAACAATATAATCAAATATTTGCCCTCGTAAACGTCCCGTCTGGAAATTTCGTTCGCCGAAACGACAGACATCTCCTTCGATCTTTCCTCGTCCCT